TAGAAAGAAGAAAATAAACAACTCAGATGAAGATGATGATGCCATTGAACCAATGATCATTAGTATCAATATGACTTTAAGAAGTTTAGAAAATGTTAAGTTATTTTTATTTTAACAAGAAAATATAGTCAAGCATATAAAATCAGTGAATATTTTGGAGTGATTTATTAGAGAGAAGAAGATTAGTCAATTATAACAGTCTTATATAGAAGATTACTTTAATCTTTAAGACTTTTGATTGATTATTATAATAAATTTTAATAGTGATTTGATTACTATAATAAATTTTAATTGATTACTATAATGGATTACTATAATAAATGTTTAATAGCTATAATAATTTTTAATGCGATTTAAAAAATAATATGTAATAGTAAAAATAACTTCATATATGCAATAATTAAGTCATAAAAAATACTTTTTTCTCTAAGTGCACACCCTCTCTAAATGCACGCTCATGGCTGGTCCCGAGAGGGGTGTATTTAGGGAGATTTGTCTGTATTAAAATTTTTTAATTTTTATTTAATTATTTAACTTGTTAATTAAATTCACAATAATAGGCCCACAGTTGATTCAGAATGAACACATATGGCATATATATTTTAATGAATGGGAAGCATATTATATTTATCAAAATTTCGATTAAAAGGATGTATAATTAATTCGTTGGACAGAATTACGAAATTATAAAATATGAGTTATCAATAATCAAAGTTGTTATAAAGATAATACTCGAATATATACAATTATCGAGACAAATGAATAATAATTGTTAATAATTATCAGTGATGCTTAGCGAAATAACGCAAACTCAGAAAATTTTTTAGTAGATAAATTTGAAGTGTTTCAAATTATTAAAAGCAGACAACAGCTGCTTGATTTTGAATATTCTTTTCTTAAATTAATATTACATATTAACATCATTTGTAATAATAACTATTTTTTAGATATTAAAGATTGATTGTTGCAATATACGTGCATTATGGTTCCGTCTTTAGTTTGGATTAAATTTGTGGATATGAACTTCACATTTATCAAATAATTGGAAAACTCAAATTGAACAGCGATTATTATTACATTAAGAATTTATTATAAAATTACTCAACATTATAATTATATCAAGGCTTTAATTATCATTATTATAGTATTTCTCCTTATAATCATATTGTTGGACCTGAATAATGGAGCGAAATTATCAAACAATGATGAGGCAATATTGATTTAAAATAATCGCTTTCGCAAGCTGAATTTGATCGTAAGCATCTTTTGTTTCTGCGAATCTACCAGTATTGACAGACTTTAAAAAAGCTCATTTAATAATATTACTTGTCCATGCCACTGGATGAGCGTCATAGAAAGATTTTTTAACAATTTAAATAAAATGCACATGTAAAGATAAATAAGTTTTTTATATTGAGTCATCTAATATTTCACGTGAATTAATATTTGAAAGATTAAAAAAAGAATTAATTAAAAGATATAGTGAAATTGAGCATTGTTAAATAAGATTCGTAAAAAGAGCGTGTGATATGAATTCAATATATTAACTACAACCGGAGCAATTACCAAATATCGATATCAACTTCATTTAATACTTCTGAAAATCCTAATCTTTTTAATTTCCGATGAGAATGTGACACGTTAATCATCGAGCGGAAGTAAAGGAAATGCAAACTTATACAAAAGTTTGTTATAATAAAAATAATCCTCTTGAATGATTCCTTAAAAGATCAATAATTTTCAGATATAAAGTAAATTAAGCTGCGAAAAAGCAACTTTACATAAATTATTAATAATTCCTAATTATTTTCCCTATGTGTATGTGAAATCGCGTGTTTAAAAAACATTTACTTGGGATTTCATAATGTCACACTCAATAACACATTTTCTTTCTAGTTTATAATATCGTTGACCATTCTTATTCCCAAACTCTTTTTTATTTAGCTTTATTTTTTTTAAGTTTTATAAGAACACTTTGGAGAAAATAATCAAAAAAGTTGCATCAACAAATAAATGAATTCGTTTTCTCATAATTTCATAATCTTAAAACACGACATACATTCTAAAAAAAGCCTTGACGACCACATAATCACTTCTTTGTTCTAGTCAGATAATTCAATATTTAATATACAAATACTTTTATCTATTCCTTGGCCATATCGAAGAAAAGTAGCACATTAGTCGGCAAGATGTTCATTCCATCGCGGCAGTTAAATTCTCGCTGTCATATAATAAAACTGTCAGAGAAAAAAAAGTCAAAGGTCATAAATTCGACTATTAGAGATTATTGCGCTAGAATGGCGCAATTTAGTTATATAGTGACCGTATGCATTATAATTACTGGATTTTTAGTCCCGGGTGCAAAAAGCGAAGACTGTAAGTGTATAGCTTTTGTTTCTTTTTTGTTGGTCACTTCACTTGTAATTTCGTACTAATATCTTTGACCGGTTATTATTAGCATGTCAGTCTTACCCTGAGAATAGGATATGTTCTGTGAGTAATTCGATTTTTGTTGTTTGTTAATGTCGCCACTAATGATTTTTATAAAACTAAATCGCTCTTTTTTTTTAGAAATACATAAGGACAATTGATCGTGTATTACTTAAAGACGGCATGACATTCGATGACATTGATAATCAATTAGGCGGCTTAAAACCATTATTAGCTCCTGGAAGTCTATTCCTTGTCAAAGACATTAATAATAACAATCTTAACAGTGATGCATATGTAAGTTGGGTTTGTGGTATGGCTTATCCGAAATGCTTACAAAGTAATACCAGCAGTTTACTTTTACCATGCAAGAGTACATGTGAAAATGCAGCTCTGTTTAAAAACATAACATTACCAAAAATAAGAAAAACCATATTGGGAGACATACAAAATTACAACCTATTTCTGGATGATCTTCCGAACCCAGATTGTAATAAGAACATAAGTTCTACATCAGTATTCGGTTTATCCGAGGCATATAATTTTCGTTACAAGGAAAACACGAAAGTTTGCTATGCAGCACAGATAAATTCAACGGCATCTGCGATGTGTTATCCCCCATTAGTGGCAAATTCGAGCAATTCCATGGATGAATTGAAATACTGTGCTAATGGTTGTTGTGTTCCATGCCCTCAGAGTTACGCTTTGTACAAAAAAGATCGATTAAAACATTGGTACAACGCAACACAGGTCGTGAGGGTAATGTCGGCGATTGGAAGTTTGATAATGTTACTGTCATATTGTGTCTTACCTGGAAAAAAATCACATCCGAGTATTTTGATTTTATTCACGTCGCTGGCGATATTTCTGTATTCGTCAAATGTACTTTTTTCAATTGGAAATGCGCCAAAAATTCAATGTCATACTGAAATTATTCCAAGCAATCAAGATAATAACCCTCTATGCGGCTTACAAGGTAACTTTATATTATTTATCATATTGGCGTTTTATGTATGTATGAATCTGGATTAACGATGGTTTATGTTTAAACTTTTTGTGTATTTTAGGCGCGTTATTGATATTTTCCACGCATGCAACAACAATTTGGCTCGCCGTAATTATTTTAAACCTACATCTTCACACAGTTTGGAACTCTAATCTGATGGCGATTAAACATATATATATATATACGCATATTTTCTGCTGGGGCATCCCTCTGATTCTTACGATCATCCCATTAGCCTCACATAAAGTGAAATACGAATTTGCCGCTTTATGTTTAATTGAACAACAATCCGCGAATTCCATGTTCTTTTATCCAATTGCTGCGTTTGTGTTACCAAGTTTCTTCATACATGTTGCAACTTTTGTTCATATTGCAAAGGTTTGAACAAAAAGTTATTCTTATGATCAATTCTTTATTAATTTTTTTACTGAATTTCGAATTTGTAATATTTATAGATTTCAACACAAAGTTATTCCAATAATTCCGATTCAGACAACAGTGATATCGAATTCATACCACATAGAACTCACGTGCTCCACGCAGTAAAAATACAATGGAGAGCACTGGTGCTTGCCGTACTTCTATTAACAACTACAATCAGTTATTGGCTTTTCTATTTCATCTCGTTAAGAAAAATAGCTGGTGGGCCTCAAAATGCATCGTTATTCGACTGGCTTAAATGCGTTGCATATGGTAAAGGACAAGATTTCTGTACAAAATTTGCTGCTGAAAAGATTCCTTCACTGGGATTACTAGCTGCTGCGGAAATGTCTGTTAGTCTTCTTGGAATATATTTGCTGGTTATATTTACGAATCGGTCGTTGTGGCTTGAATGGGGACATTGGTTTAGTAAAAAATTTCGACCTCGAAATAAACTTAAAGTTCCATCTCGATTTTTTGCTTCTTAATTATTTATAATCTCAATAATTTTTCTGTTTTTATATTGGGATGGGAGAGATAATATGCAGCAATTATTATAACTACTACTACTAATGCAAATATTTTAATGTTAGAGTATACGTCGACTACTAAAGCAAATATTTTAAATATTAGAGTATACGTCGACTAATATTTATTCCTTATTTATTTAATTTTATTTTTCCTGTGTATTTTTATTTATGTAATGTAAATATTAGTTTTCTTTGTTCAGATTAAAATTCTCTACCGACAAAGAAACGTAAGATTGACGTTGCTTCGTTTTTTTCATTTATATTCGGAAATTAAATATTCATAATGCATGCATATATTGCTTTTTTTATAAATAGCAATGATTTCATGATGCAGTTCATTTATTAAAGGGGTCAAAAATAACGTTTTGAACATTTATTGGAGCCGAAAAATCAAAGAATCATGTGCCAAAAACAAAGACAGAATAAAAAGGAAACGTATCAGGAAAGAATTTAAACGCTAAATCGTTTGACAAAAGTTTATTACATAATTGCTTTTTTGACTTTTTTTTCATATAACGTATTTAGAACTGGATAAAAGCGTATGTACGGATTTTCTATAGTGAAAATCCAATACGCGTGGAATCATTTTTTAAGAAAATAGGGGAAACCTTTTTTTTGGGGGGGGTGTAAGTATTTTCATTTCATAGTTTCAAAGCAGTTCGAGAATTCGATAAATTTCAGGTTTTAGCTGTTTATCTTTTTTAGTATCTTAATAGAATTAGTAGGATTTGACTGTCTGTATTTTAAATATTACGTGGTTCGCAGCATCCAAATTTGGGGATGCGGGGATGCGTGGATGCGTGGATGCGTTAAAGCGAAGTAGTATCACGTGTAATCAACCAATCCCACAAATTTTTTAAGAAGTTGCAACGCAATCTAGCTTTATCAAGAATCCAATGAAAAGGTACAGAATTACAGAATTTCAAATCTAAAGCTATATCTAACAAAGTAAGCGTCTCTGTATGTGGCTCTTTGTTCTTAATTATTGACTTGCTTCAGTATGTCTTAAACACCGGCGCATATACAGTTACTCGTTACTGTGAGATTTTGTTGCAGTAAAGTACAGTGAAAAAAGATCGGCAATTTACCCATTGTCTCGTGAATAATTCGTCCAACATATAAAACATTACAAACTATGAAAAATTCTTGTTTTTATTTCGTGTTTCACCATTTCTTGCATTTTTCACATTCCCCATAATAATTTGGGTGCAGTGCATCAATCAATTACAACTGTTATTACCGTTAGGTCTTTTTTTACAATCCCCGCATTTGTTGCCATTGTACTTTTTTTTTGTCAGTGGTGATTTGTGTTGGTGAAATCAGGAAAAAATTTTTTACGTTGTGACAACAAAAGACACTGGCAATGACACTTTTGATGATGGAAAAAAATTTTTCACGTAATGTTTGACCAGCACAACGACCCTTTTTTATATTTTGTTTTGTGGTGATGCCACGCGGCAAATTTTCTGATTCCACTCTATTACCTGTTATGAATTTCCATTTCATTATAATCATTATCATCATATTCGTCTAGAACATGAAAGTTAATAATCACCTCCTAATCCTGTTGCTCCCACTTTGTACGGAGATTCCGCGAGATTTGTGCAAAAAAGGGATAAATGAATGTGTTGTGTAAATGCCATGAGGTGAGACACATATAAATAAAAAATAAGAGGGTAATCGATAAACGGAAAAACTTTAATAACACTTTTTTTCATCACACTTTTCTACTAAAAGCATTAGAAT